AATAATAATAATAATAATAATAATAATAATAATAATAATAATAATAATAAAAAAATCCCATGGCATATGGCCATACCTGCTTGTATGTGCTAAGCCTTTCAAGGCTTAGGAGCACAGAAAGTGGAAGCTGGAAGACTCTGGAAAGGCTTTGTTCATCCTAAGGGCAGGCTGGGCCTTGGAAGGATAACCTTTGGTCCCTTGTAATGTCCACAAGGTGCTTGTGAGGTCTTGCCTGTTGCCTTTTTTCTATTAAGAGTGGTAAGTTGATGCCATGATAGTAAGGGTACAAACCACTCCTGTTTGTTCCAGAAAGCAAACATACCCTTTTCTCCTTATGACCTTAGGACATCTTGATTCAGTACAGACTTCACTTTCTAGTCCCAAAGCCTTCCCTAAGCCCTCTGCTTCTGCGCTCTCTCTCTCTCTCTCTCTCTCTCTCTCTCTGTGTGTGTGTGTGTACGTGTGTACGTGTACAGAGACGCACTTGGGTCACATTCACGGCATGGTAGGTTTTGAATGAAGTGACACATTACATTAGTACAGAAAATTACTGCACTCAGGTTGTTCAATTCTGTTCCTGCCTGGGCTCTGGAATGGGTCTCTGTCGTGACTGAAACACACAGGAATCAATCAGGTCTCATTATTCAGATCAGGACTGTGGCTTCCAGAAGGCAGGGCAGGTGTGCAGACCAATGGGTGGCTGTTGAGTTTGTTGGAATTACTAGAGAACAGTTTGACTTTCTGCTCGTGCCCACCAATAAGCCACTAATTCTTCTGCAGGCAGGGAAGCACATGAAGAGATCAACATCACCTTCACCCTGCCTGCTGCCTGGAACGCTGATGACTGTGCCCTCCATGGCCACTGTGAGCAGGTGGTGTTCACAGCCTGCATGACCCTCACAGCTGCCTCTGGAGTCTTCCCTGTCACTGTGTAAGTGGAGACCAAGAGGACAACCTGCAGGAGTCAGTTCTCTCTTGCTATGTGGGTTCCAGGGGTTCCAGTTGTTAGACCTGGTGGCAAGCACCTTTACCTTCTGAGCCATCATGTTGGCTTCCAGGACTGTTAAGTTTAATTTGAAATTCTAGCTTCTACATATACAAATGTGCTGGGCTGGGTTTATAGCTCAGTTGGTAGAATGTTTGCTTAGCATTGATGAAGTCTTGGGATCCATTTCCCACACAGAATAAATGGGCGTGGTGGAACACACCCATAGTCCCAGCTCTGGAAGGGTTGGGTGGGAGGATCAGAAGGTCGAGGCATCTTCCTCTCCATGGTGAGGTCAGGACTAGCCTGGGGTACATGAGTTCCCTACTCAGTAAAACAAAACAAAACCAGAAAGAAGCCCAGTCCCAGAGCAAGTGATTCAGTGAGGCAGTAAACACGATGCTCTGGCCCCTCCAGCTGCCTTTCCTACCGAGAGTCATACTGGTGAAAGAAGGAACTAGGCCCTTCCTGAGTGACCTGGGATTAAAGCTGCCTAAAGGGAAAGGTTCTGTTCATCTGTGACCCAGAAATTAATTTTGGTTTCAGTTTTTTTTTTCTTAAAGATTTATTTATACAATGTTCTTCAGGCCAGAAGAGCGTATCAGATCTCATGTAGATGGTTGTGAACCACCATGTGGTTGCTGGGAATTGAACTCAGGACCTCTGGAGGAGTAGCCAGTGCTCTTAACTGAGACAGGGTTTCTCAGTAGCTTTTGAGTTTGTCCTGGAATTCACTCTGTTGACCACACTGGCCTTGAACCCAGAGATCCACCTGTCTTTGCCTCTGGAATGCTGGGATTAGAGGTGTGAGCCTCTACCGCTCGGTTCTGTTCTCCCCTCCCCCCACGAGACAGGGTTTCTCTGTGGCTTTGGAGCCTGTCCTGGAACTAGCTCTTGTAGACCAGGCTAGCCTCGAACTCACAGAGATCCACCTGCCTCTGCCTCTGGAGTGCTGGGATTAAAGGTGTGTGCCACCATCACCTGGCAAGAACTGATCTTCTTGTCTCAGTCTCTGGAATTCTGGGATTATTGGTGTGCAACTCTATGCCTGGCTCCTTATGTGTTTATTCAAAAAACAAAACAAAACATTTAGATGTTTTGATGCACACCTGCAATTCTAGCATTCATAGGCCAGCCTCTGCTTACATTGAGATCCTGTCTCAAAATACAAATAACAACAGACCATCCAAACATAATGGCACTCATCCCAGAGAACTATGGTAGTTGTTGAAAGCGTCTTATTTCTCCTTTCGTTATGTTGCTCTGTTCAGTGTTGCCAGGCGCTGGGTGTAGAGGGAGCTCAAGTAAACGTTTCAAGTCACTGAGCTGACTTCTTTCTCTCCCCTGCAGTCAGCCACCTCACTGTGTCCCCGACACATACAGCAACGCCACACTCTGGTACAAGATCTTCACAACTGCCAGAGATGCCAACACAAAATATGCTCAAGACTACAATCCTTTCTGGTGTTATAAGGGCGCCATCGGCAAAGTCTACCATGCTTTAAATCCCAAACTCACCGTTATTGTTCCAGATGTAAGTGAAACAAGTTCTGTTTGTGTGACTGTGACTGTGTGTGTGTGTGTGTGTGTGTGTGTGTGTGTGAGAGAGAGAGAGAGAGAGAGAGAGAGAGAGAGAGAGAGAATATGAGAATGTGCACATGCATCCTGGAACTATGACTATGAATGTTTACATCTTGGGTTGCTCAGTCCTGGTCAGTTACAGTTTCCACTTGGTTTGGTAGACTAGACAGTAGAGCTGTGAAAATCATGGTACCTTTGTGGTTAAGAAAAGCCTTGATCCTTAGTTTTGTGTGTTTTTCAGCAGGATATGTTGAGGTCTGTTGCATTTGTAACCCATTGTGATCACTATTCCTGTGTGGTCTTACATGCAGAGTATCTGCCAGTAGGATGCCAAAAGGAGGTAGCAGTTCATAGGAAGAGGCAATCTTTGCTTTGTTTTAGACAGTGTACACTATGTAGCTCAGGCAGGCCTGGAAATTGTGATCCTCTTAAGTGCTTCAGCCTCTTGCGTGCTAGGACTATAAGCCTTGCCACCATGCTTGGTCTGGGATGTGTATTTGACTTGATAGCAGGGCCTGCATAGCATTTAACTTCGGAGGAAAGAGGAAGCAGTTAATTCTGCTGTCAGCAGTTACAGTCTGCCACACCAGTTATTTGTACCCTTGCTTTCCTTCCTGAGTGTGCTGCATGGATTTCTTATTTTTCCCTATCCACTTAATAGAAGTTGGTTGCCTGGAAGTTCAGGTGTAGGGTGGAGGGGAAGGCTGCAGGATGAGCAGTTCAGATTCCAGAGCCTTCCCTGCCATAGCATTCACCTGTCTCCTCCAGCAGGGAGGGCCCTCACTACCTGTGTCAGGTCACTGTAAAGCAGTCCCTTAAGAAGACTGGGGCTAGGGAGATGGCTCAGCAGCTGGGAACACTTGCTCTTGTAGGGGGACCAGAGTTCACCCCATATCAGGCAGTTCACAACACCTGTAATTCCAGCTCCAAAGTAATGGCAAATCAATCCCACACCAGTTATGTTTTAAAGGGGTATTTATTTTGGGGGGTAAACTTACATGCACATAAACCGTCAGGAAAGGAGCCTAGTCGCTGGAGCAGGAGCCGGAACCAAGAGGCTGAGCCTAGGCTTGCCACTCTTCTTTTAAAGAGAAATATACCACACCCCAGTGGGCTGGTATTTCAGCGGCTATTGGTTGATGGAGCGGAATGGTACTCCTGCATCACCAAAGGACCCCATGTACTTTCCATAGGCACCTGCACACACATGGCAATACACACATAAGTAAAAACAAAATCCTAAGGGGGGGACTTGTTTTGCCTGGTATATATTTCTGAGATCTGGACACTTGGGAGGCTGAAACAAGACAAGTTCCAGACCACTGCATGCTACATAGTGAGTTCTAGGTCAAGCTATACTCAAGAGTGAGGCTGTCTCTAAAATAAAGACTTACCTACTCTCTGCTGTGAGGCTGTGAGCACGGGAGGTAGCTAGGGTTTCTCATACACTCCTCCTCCTGTGGTTGTCTGTCAGTCTCAGAAATGAGGCCAGGGACTTAGTAAAAACAGAAGGAGAAAGGATGCTGTCTGGTGGGATGTGCCAGCTGTCCATCTGAGGAGACGCACAAGGTGAGGATAGCAGAGAAGAGCAGCCCTCCCCATAGAAGATAGGCTGGTGGGGCTTTGGCAGTGTGGGGCGCAGAAGCCACAGTAGAAGAAGCAGTGGTTGCTCCTTAACTAAGGTTGCACAGAAGCTCCAAGTCTAACCTTAGTGAAACCTAGTTTGGTTTTGGAGAGAAATGGAGAGGTTGCCTGTTCAAGCGTAAGAATATTTGGGGGGCTGGAGATGTAGCTCAATGGTAGAGCATTTGTCTAGTGTGTGTGAGGCACACACATTTGTCTAGTGTGGGTTCAGTTCTGAGCACCACAAATGAAGTTGCTGCAAGCACAGAGGCTGATGTTTGAAAAGTTGTTATTAATGGACTGTGTGTGTCTGGTTTCTTTCCTTTTGTTCATTAGGACGACCGTTCATTAATAAACCTGCATCTCATGCACACCAGTTACTTTCTTTTCGTGATGGTGATAACGATGTTTTGCTACGCAGTTATCAAAGGCAGACCCAGCAAATTGCGTCAGAACAATCCTGAATTTTGTCCTGAGAAGGTGAGCAGTGGGTGGGTCTGTCTGGCTCCTGGTGACAGGCCTTTCTCAAGAAACAAAAAAAAGGGTCCTGGCATCATGATAGCTATTCTGAAATCTCTGTTGGAGAGTTCCTGGGTGCCTCTCTACCTCCAGTCCTTCCTTCAGCACAAGAGTCGTGCAGCAGAGTCCTGTCAGGGGCTGTTACCTGTGATTAGGGATGTGGCTTGGTTAGTAGAATGCTGGCCTCACATGCATGAAGCCATAGGTTCAGTCTTCAGCACCAAATAAACCAGACATGGTGGTGCATGCCTGCAATCCTGGGACTTGGGAGGTTGAGGCAGGAGCATCATGTGTTCGAAGTCATCCATAGTGAGTTTTTGACCAGCTGAAGCTACATGAATCCTTGTCTCAAAAAACAAATCCAAGGTGGTCCACACATCTTAAATTTCTGTTCTCAGGAGGCAGAGCAAAGGCAAAGCAACCAGTGAATTTAAAGCCAGCCTGGTCTACATAGAGTGTTCCAAGCCAGCAAGAGTTATATAGTGAGACCCTATCATCAAAATGAATGAATAAATCAATAATAAATAAAAGGTTAATTTTCCCATCCTAGTACAAGTGGTTTTACAGGTTGGCCACTGCTTACAAGCTGAGGTTTTCTTTCTTGCCTCCTTGGGTGAGATGGTCTCCTTAAGGTCTCTTAATTCCCTTGCCAAAAGATAATACATGTTCAGTCAACATGACCTTGTGGTATTGGGCTAGGTGCCAGCAGCTCCCTATTGACTTGTCTGCTTACTGTCTTCTAGGTGGCTTTGGCTGATGCCTAATCCTACAGCTCTCCATTTTCTGAGAGACCAAGAACCATGATCATTGCCTGCTGAACCGGCCAGGGCCTGGCCACTCTGTGAATACACGATCTTGCAATGTTGGGTTACTCCAGCCAAAGACATTTCAAGTGCCTGTAACTGATTTGTACATATTTATAAACATTGATCTGGAAATTGATCCTGTGATGCACGTGCTTTGCCCTGGATGCAGCCTGAACCCGTCACCCTCACTGGGGGAAGGAGGTCCTTCTGTGTAGTGCTGGGGCATGTGGGGCTCTTGCCCGAGCTGAGCAGGTCATGTTCCAGTGCCAGTGGGCTGATGTTTGCTGTGGTTCTTGTTTCAGCCTGATGTGTTCAGTATTGGAAGTGGTTTGCACCTTTGTTAGGATACTGCATTTCAGAAGCCACCATTCCCTCCTGTGGCTCTTACATGTCCGTGGCTTAATGATCATAGTGACAGCAGAAATACCTTTGTTTTCTATTTGCTTGCAAGGAAGCTTTTTTTTTTTTTTTTAAAGAAAGAATAGCCACATTTTACTATTCCTCTGTTTAGGGGAGACGTGTTCGTTTATCCTAGGTAAAGGTTCCGCATTAAAAGTCACTTATGTAGTAAAGATCAAAGTTTCATTTTACACACTGGCAGCTAGGAACTTGGGTGTTCTGCCATTGTCTGCTGCTGGTGGAGAAGTAGCTGTGCAGTAGAGGCACAGCGGGGCTAACTTTCACAATGCAGGGCATATTACTCAGAGAATGAAGGTTTGGTCTAACAGTCACAAACAGGAGGGCTTCCTTTTTTTTTTTTTTCTTTCTTTTTTTTTAAAGATGTGTTTTCTTTTTAAATTCTTTTTTGCACTCCTTTTTTGTCCAGCACACCTCTCCAGAAGGAAATGGCTGTTGTGAGCTGTGTGATGTGGAAGCGGTGCTGGTGGAGAGGTCTGAAAGAAGGCGTGAGGTGCTGATGGCTGTTGACAGAGCAGCACCGGAAGCGTTTTTCACAGGAAATTTTGATCATCTGGTTTCCCTATCCCTTTGCCCGTTTCCATTTAAAAAGCCATCATCTCTTCCACTTCCTGTTTTGTTTGTATTTTCAGTTTTTCTATCAACGCTTTGCCTTAACAGCTCCAATGCAGTGTTCCAGACTTGCTGGGTGTAGGGATGCATGCACATATGCCCAGCACTTTGGAGGCTGAGGCAGAAGAATCTCGAGCTCAAGACCAGCCTGGGCTCCATACTGATCCTCTATCTCTCAAAGCAGTCATTTTCTTTCTGGAGATGTGTGTTGTACAAAAATGAATGCAAATTTTTTTTTTGAAAAGAAAATACATCTCCATTCCAAAAAATGTCCATCAGCACTTTAGTTCCGTAAACTATAGGAACTAAATATAGAACTAGGTCTATAGTCTGTCTCAATTGGAGTTAACGTGATGGATTTTGAACCTTACTGGTCTAGAGATTTTTTTCCAGGCATTCTACATGGAAAACAATAGTTTGTTTCTAAATTGAAGATTAATCACTGTAGTTATATGATGCATTATTTTTTGCTTTTTAAACCAGTGGTGAGTTGCTTATAAGTTGGCTAATGTGTGAATTTAATTTAGTAGAGATCCTTGTCAGGCAGGATGAAGAAAAAGCCACGTGATTTGGCTGATATACATCTGTCATCGGGACCATAAGCTTCAGGTTAAGCTGCTGAATAATAAAACCCAGAGAAGCAGAGCCAGACAAATGAGAAGAGTCACTTCCACTAGTCTGCTCAGCTCAGCTGTGTTCCTCTTAGTCACCCTTGTTAGTGACAGGCAGTGACTGGGATCTGTTGGGGTGGGAGGGAGGAACACAAGGCTTGCAGAGAGGAAGTGCCAAAGTGCTTGGAACGTCACCCATCCTGAGGCCAGATACGTACTCCCAAACCCAGTATTCACCGTAGCAGGCGGACAGGTGGAAGATGGGTGGGGGAGGAGGGTGTGTGACTGTGTTTAGGGGCCTGGAGACACATCTACAGAACTTGTTACTGTGGGTAGTTCCACACACGGCCTGGTCCTCAGCTGCTCCTTGCTAGTAAACCTCAGGATTGGAATATATCAGGCTGGGCCACTGGAGACTCCGACCCCAGCAGCTGGCTTATCCTCAGGTGTCCTAGACTGGGGCTGCAGTCAGAAGTCAGTGACTTCCTGTGAATGATTGTTTCAGATCATATTGATCTCTTTCCTTTTGTCCTTTCACCATACGGTATGACTTGAATCAGTTTTGATTCTATTTGTAAGTTCTCATCATTTGGAACCTGGTGTTTCTGTTGTGTTCTTGGCAGTGCATAGGAACCCAGCCTCCTGTGTTTTGACCCTCCTGCAGGCACTGTGGGACTCGAGGGCAGCAGATCCATCTCCCGTCCCTTGCTGCATGATGGTCACTAGCTGATCTGTGATGGCGTCCCTCCCTTGTTGATTTTCTGTGTTTGAAGTATGTGCTATATGTGCTTTACAGAATAAAGCATCTGGGTTTACTTGGTTTGTCGTTCTTTCTTCCAGCCTGATAGCGATTTAAACAAAAAGTGTAGGCAAGAACACTTACCAGGTTTTGTAGGCTGTTTTTTGAAGTACCACGAGCCATGAGAATGAAACTAGTATTTACTACTAAGGTGACCTCAACAAATCCATGAGTCTTTGTCAAAACAGTGTAAAACCTTGTACTGTATGAGACCAACAAGTGCTCACTGACCTGGCCCAAACTCTACCAGAAGACAATAGTTGTGGCTCAGTGGGAGAGTTCTTGCCTAGAACATCCCAGTGAGGGGCTGAGGGCATGGCTAAGCAGTAGGTTTCTGGGTTCTACTCTCAGCACACAGGATACACAACCAGTGAACCAATATAGGCTGAAGATAACCAGTCTAATTACCTAAATCCTTAGTGTGCCTTCAGCTAGCCAGGCAGTGGTGGCATATCCTTAACCCCCAGCACTTGGGAGGCAGAGGCAGGCATATCTCTGAGTTTGAGGCTATCCTGGTCTACAAGAGCTAGTTCTAGGACAGCTAGACTCTAGTACTGTTACACAGAAAAAACCCTGTCTTCAAGACAAAACAAAAAACAGGCTATGGGCTGGAGACAGGGCTCTGTGCTTCAGTTCTTAGAGGATGTTTGCAGATGGATGAACTCTTAAAAACGGATTGGGCACAGGTCTAAAGTTCAGGAGGGTGAGGCAGGAGGATTGACTCCAAATGAGAAGAAAAAAAATTGAAGGCAAACCCAAAAAACTGTCAAAGTATATTATGCTCTTGGATCTTTATTTTTATTTAATGTTCATTTGGTGTTTTTCCTGCCTGTTTGTATGGAGGAAACTGGAGTTACTGACAGGTGTGAGCTGCCATGTGGGTGCTGGGAATTGAACCATCCACTGAGCTATCTCCCCAGCTCGCCCCCCCCCCTTTTTGAGACAGGGGTTATGTGTAGCACTGGCTGTCCTGGAGCTAACTCTGTAAACCAGGCTGGCCTTGAACTCGGATCCACCTGCCTTTGTCTCCCCAGTGCTGGGAGTAAAGAAATGCCTTTGACTAAGGCCCTCAAAACACAAAGACCCCCCCCCCCATTGTGAGGTTAATATTGACAGGATCTAGAATTAGCAGGGGAACAAACCTCTGGTCACATCTGTAAGAGTTTCTAGATTTGGCATACGAATCCATCTTTCTCTGCTTCCTGACTGCACACACACCTCATGATTCTGCCACCATGCCTTCTCTGCTATGATGCGCTGGGACTCCTCAAACTGAGCTAAGGTAAAACCTTTCCTTCTTTAACATGCTTTTTCAGGCATCTCATCAGTGAGGGAAGTCCCTGATACAAAACCAGAACAAAAAGGAAGCTGTCTAGAAATGCAAGCCAGAGCTTAATAAAAATAAGTTTTATTGATTATGTATAATTTTAGCTATACTAACATATAAACTTTTAAGAATTAGTATTAAATGACTTTATATATTTTACCAAGAATAATCTAAGTCAGTTGTGTGGTTCCATGTTCGTTGAAAATTAAAAATTCAAATTTTCCCTAGTCATTATATATCTAAATTTAGGGAACCAGCTCACACCCCAGACCTGGACTTCATTATGCAAAAGTACCACATCTTCATCCCAGCAAACACTCCTTTTTGTTATACAGACCCCTCTCCAATGATGTATCACATACTAACTCGAGTATCCACCACTGTCTGATCTTTCCTGTGGAACTAGAAAGGCATAGACAGCAGTGAAGAGCTGTTCTGGACGCTGTATTCTGTTATTTTTGTTGGAAACCCCAATTTAACAAAGACACCCAGTACCTAGGTAAATGTTTAACACAAGGCTGGAAAGTGGCACGTTGCTTGAGCAGGGCTTTTGGCAGTCACAGAAACAAGCTGCTGCTGCAGGGGACAACTGTCCTGTCTTGTTCCAGCTGAGGAGCTGGAGAGTGTCATTCGAATTTCTCATCTCCTTCCTCCACGTCTTTCAGACTGAGCACTTCCAGAGAACCTCTGCCTTTGGTTTCCTTTTTTATTAGCTCATCGATTTCTCTGAAGCAGCCTGGGTCGATGAGACACACCTGCAATGATTATGTAGCTGTTTACCAAGGGAGGATTAAAAGCGCAGATTAAACTCAGCTTTAATGCTCAGGGCGGATCAGACTGTGCTGGGCCTGGTGTTCAGTCTTGATGCTAAACATTTGTTATTGGCCTTTGGGAAAGGCATTCACTTACCTTGCTGGTGCTGCAGCTCACAGTGAGAGCCAGCATTAGCCTAGCATTCAGATCCTGGGTTCAATCCCTAGCACCTCACTCCTTTTAAAAACATACCCAGATTCCCCAGCTGTAAACTAACAGGGTTGTAACAGACTATGGTCTCCAGGTTGAAATCTAGCATTAGACCAGCAGATCTCAACCTGTGGGCCATGACCCCTTCAGTCACCTAAGACCATTGGAAAACGGGTATTTACATCATGATGCATAACAGTAGCAAAGTAGCAATGAAAATGTTATGGTTGGGGGAGGGTCACCACGACATAAGGAGCTGTATTAAAGGGTCACAGCATTAGGAAGGTTGAGAACCACTGCATTAGACCCTTATAGGTCAGTGACTGTCACCTCCACTTGAGAAGCAGACCCTTGGGACATACTGAGAAGTCATGGAGGGTTCTGAAAAGTGCAGAGGTTCACAGTGCTGGCACAACTGTTTCTCTCTAGAGGAACCACCCATGACCCAAGAACAAATCCTCTCATTGCTAATGTTTAAAAAACATGTTCTGGTTAAAAGGACGGATGGTAACTTCTACTCTCAAATTTACGTAATAGCTGAGGATGACCTTGAACTCATAATTCTTCTGCCCCTACCTCCGGAGTGCTGGGGTAACAAGTGTTTACCACGTGGCTCCACTTCTATTATAAAAGAAGACTCAGTGAAAAATATCTTATTTCAAAGAAAACGAATACAACCAAAACAATTTTTTGTCAATAACTTGACTAAGAAGCAAATAAAATCTTGTGTGTATTTAACTGTAGTGTTCTATTTACAATCTGACATGCTAGCCTAGCCTAGCCTACAACCTCTTAATATTGTCACATGGTTTGAGTATGAAATGTCACCAACCGGCTCATGTGTTCCAAGCTTTATACCCAGGTGGTGGTACTAATTTGCCAAGTCTGGAAACTTGAGTTGAGATCTCTATGAAGAAAGTAGATTCTGGGGGCCTCTCTCTGTAGGGTACACCTGGTCTTATTTTTCTCATTACAGATGGTTGCGAGCCACCATGTGGCTGCTGGGAAACTGAACTCAGAACCTTTGGAAGAGCAGGCAGTGCTCTTAATCACTGAGCCATCTCTCCAGCTTCCACCATTTCCCCTATTCCCTCTCCTTCCTATTCTGCCCAACTACATGAGGCCAAGCAGTCACAGACTGAACCCTCTCAGACTGAGTCAAAATAAATCCTACTTCCTTATTCTGTTCTCTCAAGCATTTGGGTCACAGCTATGCAAAAGTAAGAAAGAAATGCAGTATTAATGATCAGACAGTAAGTTACTCCAATAGAGTGAAGCCAAGTGTGTTAACGTTATAATCTTGGGGCCCAGGTTGCACCGCTGGCTCCCCACCGCCATCATCTTACTATCTCCAGCTGCTGGCTGTAGTCCTCACTCTCCACGACCTTCATCAGCGGCTTCAGTTTCTCCTTCAGCTTCTTTCCTTCGTTCAATGGGAGGAGGAAGCGCAAGCGCATGTGGGCACGCTCAATCTTTATCTTCTCTTTTAACTGCTTTATCACTTCCAAAGCCTTTCAAGACACAATGGGGAATGCTTGTTATTTAATATATGTACTGACTCCTGTGTCGGATAGCAACACAGCAGTTTGCATATAATGCATTATGCCAATAGCTTCGTGAACACACAAGCAACCCCAGGAAAACGGAGAGAAGAGAGATGTCTCATTTTGCGAAATGGAAATAAAGTAGTTCTTTGCTTTGGAAGAAAGCACTATCAAAAGCTGAGGATGTTCTAAGGACAAAGAGCGCTCGCTACCTGCTGCTTTGTGCTCTTGTTGGGCTTGACCGAGTAGTGGATGTCCTTCATGGCTCTCTCGATGAGGATAACCGTGTAGGGTCTTTTTGTTTCTGGGTTCACACACTTGTCTGCCACAATGGTTGCAATATCCCGAAACATCTGCTCCAGCTGTGTGTGCCGTTCTTTATCTGACACTTGAACTTCTCCTTTAGTCAGAATCTAAAACGGCGGAACATACAGAAAGTCTCCATCAGGTTTAGTTATCTTTTTCTACTGCACAGAATTAGTGAGCAAGGAGGAAATGAAGTTTTGTTCTCTGCAGCTGCTCATGCAGAACCAAGTGCTGCCTAAATCCAGCACCGAATTATGAGTAGCTCCAAGATCCTGCTTCTGGGCTAGGGAGACAAAGGGGAGGAAAATCCATCTAGAACAGCAGTTCTCAATCTGTGGGTCGTGACCCCATATTAGATATCCTGTATATCCGATAGTTACATCTTTTTTTTTTTGATACAGGGTTTCTCTTCGTAGTCCTGGTTATTCTAGAACTCACTTTGTAGACCAGGCTGGCCCGAAACTCAGAGATCCACCTGCCTACCGAGAGCTGGGATTAAAGGCAAGAGCCACCACCACCTGGCTTACATTATGATTCTCAACAGTAGCAAAATTACACTTGTAGAGTAGCAATAAAATAGTTTTATGGTTGGGGTCACCACAACGTGAGGGACTGTATTTCAGCGTGAATGCAATGCATCAGGAAGGATGAAAATCACTGCTCTAGAGGCATGACATACAAAAAACGGAAAGGCCCTGGGTTCAGTCCTCAGAACAAACTCAGCTTGAGGCCAGCCTGGTGAGCACAGCAGATTCCAGGCCAGCAAGTGCTGCACAGTAACTCTGCGGTGGGGGGTGGGGGGTGGGGGGTAGGAAGCACAGTGAGGTAAAGGAGGTGATTTACTAGAAAAGTTAATTTCTAAAGTTTGATTTTAAAAATCCAGGAAAAAAAAAAAAAACAAACCTCAGAAGCAGGACCTGGTGGTTCCCTTTGTCTCCAAAACCAAAAAGAAACCTAAGAGTTTGGAGGATTCTGGGAAGGCTAGTTGGCTTTGTTAAGATGGAAAACCTGGTGGTCATGTGCTCTGAGGAAGGGCTGAAGCTGGGGTCCAGTGTCAAGGCCTTAGGATGGAAATTGCAAGTTTCAGTGCCCCAGCAGCCCTGCCTAAGCCTGCCAGAGATGCTCTGAGAAGTATCAGTGGTTACGGGGAAGTCTGAAGACTAAGACTAAGAGACCCCTCAAACAAGACAGCCAACTTTCACTGTGAAAAGATCAAGAAGACAGAAAGGCACCAGGCACTGCTCCTGCATCCGAGCACGCCTATCCAGAAACGGCAGTTCTTTTCCTTCCATGCTCTGCATCTGGAGCGCTTTCACCTGCCTGAAGAGGCCCAGATTGCACTCCTCCTCTTGAATGGGGTTTAACCCTCACCATTCTGAACAAGGCGAGGGGACTTGAGAGGCTGCGGCACATGCATCCCCCTTGCCTATGAGGAGGCCCTTTCTACCATGGCAAGCTATTCCACTGCTGTCTCCTCCCAGGATTTTCTCCAACCTGGATGTTGAACTGTCATGTCATCTGTTTGTTACAATACAGCTATTTCAACTGTATTTTTTTTTTTTTTTGAGACAAGATTTCCCTGTGTAACAGCCCTGGCTATCTTGGAACTAGCTCTTGTAGACCAGGCTGGCCTCGAACTCACAGAGATTCGCCTGCCTGCCTCTGCATCCCAGGTGCTGGGATGAAAGGCGTGTGCCACCATCGCCCGGCTTGTTTATGTTATTTCAATAAAGCTGTGTATGCATAGTAAGTAGACTCCTACTAATACTGTAATCGGTATTTCTTGGAATGAAAGCAGCATAAAGAAATTGAGAGTCTGTGTTAGAAGTGATACTGGAGGGGTTGGAGAGAAGGCACAGCGGAGAGCTTGCTGCTCCGTTGAGGATTGGGGTTCATTTCCCAGCACCCACATCAGGGGCTCACAAGCGCTCGTAACTCCAGGTCCAGGGGATCCAGTGCTGTCTTCTGGTCTCCACAGGCACCTTGCACAAATGTGCACACTCGTTTGTTGATACAGGTTAAACAAATAAAACAAAAAACCCAGACCAGCTGGGCACATCTTTAATTCTAGCACTCAGGAGGCAAAGCCAGGTGGATTACTGTGAGTTTGAAGTCAGTTTGGTCTACATAATGAATTCTAGGTCAGTCAGAGCTACATAGTAATATACTGTCTCCCCTTCCCCAAACCCCAATGCTATACTGGAGCTGAGTAAGGTGACGTGATGCAGGAGGATCAGAAGTTCCAGGTCAGCATGGCTATCCAGTTGAGTGTGATGTCCCACCGTATGAACCTCCCAATTCTTTCAACATAAACTGAGAAAATAAAAAATGCTAAAACAACAAACAAAACCTGATCAAGAAGAACAGAGGTCCAGATGTTGCCTACGAACATGACAATGCGTTGCGCTGTGACCGGCAGAACCTACCTGCTTGCAGATTTCTGTCTGGTCATCCGTCCCAAATGCACTGATGAGGTCTTCCTTCTTGGCAACCTGACCTTTGGAAACATTTACAAACACTGAGTGGGTCTGCAGAACTTCATCGAGGTCTTTTTCCCTTGAAAGGGCGGGAGAGAGAGGCTCTGTGAATCCACTGCACAGCTGGGAACTCATTCACAGTTAAATACAAGAGAGATGGCAAGTGCGGCAAACCAGGTATGATGTGCTCATCTGTAATCCCAGCCACTCAGGAGATGGAGGCAGATATTGGGAGTTCAAGGGTAGCCTTGGCTATCTAGTGGGGTTCTGTGCTACTTGAAACATTGTCTCATAAAACCAACCCCCACAAAAAGAGAAACTGAACACACATGCGCCCCCACCTCTCTCCCAGGTGACTTCTGTCAGGAACAGTTATAAACTCAGGACAGTATCTGTATTCTCTCAGTTAATCAAGAAGGGGAAAAAAAACCAAACCAAACCACGTCATTGTTTTACATAAGGAAACTCGGGGTGTGGTGGGGTGTGGTGCCAAAGCTTCCACCCTGGAATGCCACCCTAGATGGCAGTAGTGAAGACACTACGCACTTTGAAAAATCTGGGCATTCTGAGGGGTGTGTGACATATTAGTTTCCCCGATTAGTATTCCAGCTATCAGATTCCCGTCTTAATCATTTATCCAAGAAGCCTCCAGCCCCCAAACCTAATTTCGAGGTTTCTTTGGCTTCAGTTTTATTTTGTTTAACGAAACAGAGTCTCACACACTGGCCTGGAACTCGCAGCAATCCTCCTGCCTCCGTCACCTGAGCCCTGGGATTACAGGCCTAGGCATAGGACCAGCTATGACCGAGTTTTTAGTTGTCAGTTTTTGATCCAAACAAAATCCCAAACCAGAAGCCAGTCCGAATCCAGCAAACCAGCCCGACAGGTTCCCGTGGCTCTCAGGGGCCGCGGTTAGGGAGGCCGGACTCTGGGCACGGGATCACTCACTCACACGCCACTCCGCCAGCCGACGACCTTGTTCTTATAGCAGGCGATTTCGAAGCGCTTCCCTGCTCGCTTCATCCGCACCACCGCCACATTGGTCAGTCGGATCTGGTTGGTGGGGGTGAAGATTGACATGGCGGCGGCTCCCCGACGGCGGGTTCTCCAAGCCCTCGGCTGTAACGACCCCGCGGCGCGCGAACCCCACGACTGCTGGGCTCTTCGCTAACCTGCACTTGGGCAGCCGTCACTGCGCACCCGACGACCCAACTGCGCCTGCGTCCCGCGACGCACTAGCCGGGGAAAGGAAAAGAAAGCAACTACGCCTGCGCGGTGTGACTCTTATGTCACCGCTCCCCATCCTTAGAGGAAGGCGCGGTTCGATGACGTTGTTTACGTGCGCCCGCAACTCCTATTGGCTGGTGAGTAATGTTTATTGGCCCCGGTGGAAACAGGGTGTTCATGTTGAACCATTCTGCAGGATTCAGAAGGTGCATTCATTTTGACCTTTTAAAGAGGAGAAAAAGGTGTAACGAGCTTCCATCATCCTGCTTCAATAATTATATCCTCCCTCTTTTTAAAATTTACTTTATTTATTTATTTATTTATTTATTTTTTTGAGACTGGAGCCTGTCCTGGAATTAGCTCTCGTAGATCAGGCTGGCCTCGAACTATGAAATCACAGAGATCGTCTGCCTCTGCCTCCTGAGTGCTAGGATTAACAACGGTCTGCACCACCAGGCTAGGCTGTCATTCATTTCTTGAAAGTACTTTCCTCCGTCCTGCCCTTTAGCATTTTAGCCAAACCGAGAGGAGCCCGAAGCCGGCTCTCTTCTGCACCTCCACCTCTGGGCGGAGCTCCCCTAAGTCCCGCCCCTTCCCTCTCTGAGCCAATCCGAGGCGTACAGGAAACGCTCCGGCATCTGTCCCCCCCCCCCACCGTTACGAGCTAGCCCTCTCTCTCTCTGGTCCCGCCCCCTCCTCACGTAAGCCAATCAGAGAGCAGCCTTTGAACTTCCGCTAGCTCCGTCTCCCGGGCCCGCCTCTGTCCTCTGTGGCCAATGCGGGCGGGCCTGCAGGCGGCATGGTACCTTAGTTTTGTGACCCCGATCCTTGTGCTCGCAGGCCCGCGCACTCTGACTTTGCTGTGACCTGCGGGGCTTGGGCTCCGCGGAGGATGGGTGAGGCCAGGCTGGCCAGGGTCTCGGGCGGGTAGGAGGAAACAGCTTCCCTTCCCGCGCAGGGGGCGTAGGTGTTGCATTACATGTTTTACTTTCTGTTTTAATTGTATTTTATTTTTCCCTTTGTCATTTCATTGTATTTTTCTTTGTTTTGTATCCCAGGTTGAGCTAGAACTTACCGTGTAGCTCAGGAGAATGGGACTCACCATGTAGCCTAGGTCTGAACTCATCTGTGTAGCAACTGGCTTGGCGCTCAGGGTGTAGTTGAGGGTGACTTGGAACTTACTACCCAGGGGGGTTAGGAAATTGTCATGTAACCTAAGCTGGCCTGAAACTCGGCATGTAGCCCAAGCTAGCCTCCAAATTTATAGTGTTCCTCCTGCCTCAGCCTACTGAATGCACATAGTACCAGGAGGCTGTCACTACTGGGAACAGGGAGGACCGATTGTTCTCCTAACTAGTTTTTGCCTTTATGGGACTAAGGGATATGTTTTGTAGGAAACTGACCTAACCTCGAAGAAAAAATGACTCCCTCCTTAAATACATGTTTTGAGTCTTCTGAGTCTATTGAATAGCACCTGTAAACCGAAATTTCAGGTTTCAAGTTCCTTGAAATTTCTTTCAGCTTCAGGGTTTAAGGCAAGCCTCAAATTAAAAAAACAAAACAAAACAAAAAGCAAAAAACTCAGGTGTGGACTGGAAAGTTGTCACAGTGGTTAAGAACACTTGCCATTTTTCCAGAGGACTGGGGTTCAGTTCTTAGCACCCACAGATACCTGTAAGTCCAGCTTCAAGGGATCTAGTGCCTCTGGCCTGCACGGCTTATTGCGCATATGCACGTGCTCACGTGAACATATGCAAATACACAGGCCTATACGTAACTAAAAGTAAAAAAATATTTATGAAAGAAATCAGTGGTGGTTATTGTGGCATAGGCCTTTCATCCCAACATTTGGGAGGCAGAAGCAGGTGGATTTCTGTAAGTTTGAGGCCAACCTGGTCTACATAAATGAGTTCCAGGATAGCCAGAGCTAGAGAGATCCTGTCTCATAAGAAACAAGCAAACAGAAAAGGTCAGACATAGTGCTGTTTGGATGGTGAGACAGGAGGATTATTGTAAGTTTGAGGGTGAACTGGCCTCCATAATGAAATCTTGTTTCAACAAAAAAGTAAATCAGCGGGGCTGGAGAAATGACTCAGAGGTTAAGAGCACTGACTACTCTTCCAGAGGACCCGGGTTCAATTCCCAGCACCCACATGGCAGCTCACAACTGTCTGAAAATCCAGTTCCAGGGGATCTGACACCTTCACACCAATGCGCATAAAAAAAAATAAAAAAAAGATAAAAAAGTAAATCAGCCATTGCAATTTCTTATATTGTTGAATATGAAGTTTGATTTCTAGTCTTTCTCTCCTTCCTATTTTATTTTCTGAAACAGGGTTTCTCTGTGTAGCCTCGGCTGTCCAGACACTCACTCTGTAGGCCAGGGTGGTCTCAAACTCAAGAGATTTACCTGCCTCTGCCTCCCGAGGGCTGTGATTAAAGTCACGTGCCACTACCATCAGGCTGTTTTTAGTTCTTAAATCACCAGTGGGCATTTTTGTGGCTTCATGCATTGTTACAGCTATGTGCTGTTCTGAATGCAGGTCCTCTTCTCGATGTGTGGGACTTTTCTTCGCCTTTACTGCTGCTATGGATCAATAGGTTCTACATCTACCTGGGCTGTGCTCTGGGAGTCACCCTTTGGATCTGTGTCCAGGTTGTCATCAAGAAACAGGTAATTGGGGTAGTTTTTTTTCTCTCTACCTCTCCCTTTAAAATATTTTTTTAAAAAAAGATTTGTTCTGTCTAGTGTTCTGCTTGTATTCTGCCTGCAGGCCAGAAGAGGGCGCCAGATACGGATGGCTGTGAGCCACCATGTGGTTGCTGAGAACTGAACTCAGGACCTGTGGAAGAGCAGCCGGTGCTCTTAACCTCTGAGCCAGTTCTCCAGCCCCAAAACTTTTTCTTTTTTTAAATTAGGTGCATATGTGTGGGCATATGCACATGAGTGCAGTGCCTGTGGAGGCCAGAAGAAAACTTTTTCTTTTTTTAAATTAGGTGCATATGTGTGGGCATATGCACATGAGTGCAGTGCCTGTGGAGGCCAGAAGAGGGCGTTGGATCTTCTGGAGTAGGAGTTACTGGTGCTGGGAACCAATATGGGGTCCTCTGCAAGAGGAGTACATGCTTGTAGGAGTTGGTTCCTTCTATCATGTAGGTTCTAGGACTGATCTCATCAGGCATGGCCTCAGGGTCTTTGCCCACCTATCCATCTAGCTTGTAAGAGAGAGTCCTGTTATGTATTCCTGGCTGGCCATTATGTAGCCAACTAGTCCTGACGTCTGGGCAGTCAGTCCTCCTGCCTCACCTCCTGAATGCTAAGATTACCAGCAAGCATTACCCTTCCTATATTAAATCACATTTTTGTTTGTCTAGATTTTTAAAAAATTGAATTAATTTATTTATTTTACATTCTGACTGCAGTTTCTCCTCCTCCTCTCTTTTCCTCCCATCCCTTCCCCCCACTGTCTATGGTTTATTTTGATTCCTTAATTTTTTTTTCTCTTAAGATTTTAGAGACTATGTTATAATGAACTAAGAATAGAGAGGATTTTATAATGGAATATTGACCTACAAAGAGAACTAGCTGGTGGTGGTGGTGGCAGTGGCGTACACCTTTAATCCCAGCACCCAGGAGGCAGAGGCAGGTAGATCCCTGTGAATTCAAGGCCAGCCTGATCTACAAAGTGTGTTCCAAGACAGCCAGGGCTATGTAGAGAGACCCTGTCCCAAAAAAGTTAAACCAAAACAATAAATAAATAAATGAATAAGTAAAAATAAAAGAGAGAAAAATGAAGTTGTTTTGCACAGGCAGCTCTGCAGTCCTTACTGCCTACACAGCTGAGTGGGGGCTTTGGTTGTTTTTGTTTTCTGTTTTTTTCCCCCTGAGACAGGGTTTCTCTGTGTAGCCATGGCTGTCCTGGCACTTGCTCTGTAGACCAGTCTGGCCTCGAACTCACAGAGATCCACCTGCCTCTGCCTCCCCGGGTGCTGGGATTAAAGGCGTGTTACACCACCGCTCTGCTGTGGGGGCTTCTCGAGTCTTCTAAGTTTTTGGTGAGTTTCATGCCTCTCTCGAGCCTCCCTGCTAGAAGGGAGGTTTTAGATTGGAGAGAAGAGTTGACAATACCATTCTCAAAACCCAAACGGTGTAAACACTGTATACCATTTTCATTGGATCAAACGTAAGTGTCTCTAGGAGGATGTGTGTAGGTTCTACGTAAATTCTAGGTCATTTTTATATGAGGGATTTGAAGCCAGGTTGGAGAGAGCACACTTGTAATCTCAGCGCATTGCAGGCTGAGGCAGGAGAATGATTAGTTTGAGGCCAGTGTGGGCTACACAGGTAGACTGTGTCTCAAAGTAGCAAAATCCACCCCCCCACCGACGAAAAACAATATTGTTGTTGTTGTTGTTGTTGTTGGTGGTGGTGGTGGTGGTGGTGGTGTGTGTGTGTGTGTGTGTGTGTGTGAAAACACATGTGCCATCCTCTGAGTACCACAGCTGTCTTCATCAGAACCTATTACTGCTGCTTGCAAGAGACCTCTGGAGGTCAGACTTGGTGGCGGATGGCTTTCCCCCATAGGTAGAGGGCCAGCTAGTGACCCAGAGGAGATTCTGTTGCTTCCCCCAACCTCCTTCCTCTGGGCCAGTTGTTTGTAATATTGGTCTGATTGCACATAGCCTTGTGGTCTTGGATGGTGCTGGAGTCTATGGATTGTGTGAGGTTCTCCGAGCAGAGGACTCCATCTATGCAGCTGTAGGGAAGTCGTTCAGTCTCCATTCTCGGGTGGTATGGCGGCTCTGAGGTCCCCAAGGCGGGATTCTGTGGAATGGTTTGTTGTTGGAGTCCTCTCAGGAGGGGTAGACATTGTGTGCATCTCCCTAAGGGAAGTGGTCCTGCTGCTGTGTGTGTCCGTCCTGTCTGTCCTGGAACCACGTCTCCATAATCAGGTAGGTTACAGCTTTCCTCTGCAGGGAATGGACATCATATAAAAAAGGTGGGTCCT